CAAGAAAGAAAGAGGAGAGATCAGAACCAACACCCCAAAAATACAAATAATAATAACAAAATATTATGAGCAATTATATGCCAACAAATAGGGCAATCTGGAAGAAATGGACAAATTCCTAGAAACATATAAACTACCAAAATGGAAACAGGAAGAAATAGAAAATTTGAACAGACCAATTACCAGTAAAGAAATTGAATCAGTAATCAAAAATCTCCCAATAGAGTCCAGGGCTGGATGGCTTTCCAAGGGAATTCTATCAAACATTTAATGGAGAGTTAACAGGTATTCTTCTGAAGTTGTTCCAAAAACAGAAATGGAAGGGAAACTTCCAAACTCTTTTTATGAGGCCAACATTACCTTGATTCCAAAACCAAAGACCCCAGTAAAAAGGAGACCAATTTCCCTGATGAACACGGACGCAAAAATTCTCAACAAGATACTAACCAACCGGATTCAAAAATACATTCAAAGAATTATTCACCATGATCCAGTGGTATTTATTCCAGAGATGCAGGGCTAGTTCAACTAATGAATTGGAAATCAATTAATGTGATACATCACATTAATAAAAGAAAGGATAAGAACCACATGATCCTTTCAATTGATGCAGAGGAAGCATTTGACAAAATACAGCATCTTTTCTTGATAAAAACCCTCATGAAAGTAGGGATAGAAGAAACATACCTCAAGATCATAAATGTCATAATATGAAAAGACCGACATCATTCTTAATGGGGAAAAACTAGAACTTTCTCCCTAAGGTCAGGAACATGACAGAGATGCCCACTCTTATCACTGTTATTCAACATAGTGTTGGAAGTCCTAGCTTCAGCAATCAGACAACACAAAGAAATAAAAAGCATCCAATTGGCAAGGAGGAAGTCAAACTTTTTCAGTCTTCACAGACGACATGATACTTTATGTGGAAAACCCAAAAGACTCCACTAAAAAATAAAACTGCTAGCACTGGTACATGAATTCAACAAAGTCATAGGATATAAAATCAATGTACAGAAATCGGTTGCATTTCTGGGGCGCCTGGGTGGCGCAGTCGGTTAAGCGTCCGACTTCAGCCAGGTCACGATCTCGCGGTCCGTGAGTTCGAGCCCCGCGTCGGGCTCTGGGCTGATGGCTCAGAGCCTGGAGCCTGTTTCCGATTCTCTGTCTCCCTCTCTCTCTGACCCTCCCGCGTTCATGCTCTGTCTCTCTCTGTCCCAAAAATAAATAAACGTTGAAAAAAACAAAATTAAAAAAAAAAAAAAGAAATCGGTTGCATTTCTGCACACCAATAATGAAGCAGCAGAAAGAAAAATCAAGGAATCAATCCCATTTGCACCAAAAACCATAAAATACCTAGAAATAAACCTAACCAAAGAAGTGAAAAATCCATACACTAAAAACTGGAGAAAGCTTATGAAATAAATTGAAGAAGACACAAAGAAACGGAAAAATATTCCATGCTCATGGATTGGAAGAACAAATATTGTTAAAATTTTCATACTACCCAAAGCAATCTACATATTCAATGCAATCTCTATCAAAGTAACACCAGAATTCTTCACAGAGCTACAACAAACAATTCTAAAATTTGTATGGAACTAGAAAAGACCCTGAATAGCCAAAGTAATATTGAAAAAGAGAACCAAACCTGGAGGCATCACAATTCCAGACTTCAAGCTGTATTACAAATCTCTAATCATCATGACCGTACAGTACTGGCATAAAAACAGACACACAGATCAATGGAACAGAACAGAGAACCGAGAAATGGACCCACAAACATATGGCCAGCTAATCTTTGACAAAGCAGGAAAGAATATCCAATGGAAAAAGACAATCTATTTAGCAAATAGTGTTGGGAAAACTGGACAGTGACATGCAGAAGAATGAACCTGGACCACTTACACCATACACAAAAATAAACTCAAAATGGATAAAAGACCTAAATTTAAGACAGGAAGCCATCAAAATCCTAGAAAACAGGTGGCAACTTCTTTGACCTTGGCCGCATCAACTTCTCATTTGACATGTCTCCAGAGGCAAGGGAAACAAAAGCAAAAATGAACTACTGGGACCTAATCAAGATAAAAAGCTTCTGCACAGCAAAGGAAACAGTCAGCAAAACTAAAAGGCAACCGACAGAATGGAAGAAGATATTTGCAAATGACGTTTCAGATAAAGGGTTAGTATCCAAAATCATAAAGAACTTATCAAACTTAACACCTAAGAAACAAATAATCCAGTGAAGAAATGGGCAGAAGAGATGAATAGACACTTTTACAAAGAAGACATCCAGATGGCTAAGAGACACATGAAAAGATGCTCAGCATCATCATCATGGAATTCATCATCATGGAAATACAAATCAAAACCACAATGAGATACCACCTCACACTAGTCAGAGTGGCTAACATTAACAACTCAGGCAACAATGGATGTTGGTGAGGATGTGGAGAAAGGGGAACCTTTTTGCAGTGTTAGTGGGAATGCAAACTGGTGCAGCCACTCTGAAAACAGCATGGAGGTTCCTCAAAACATTAAAAATAGAACTACCCAGGGGTGCCTGGGTTGCTCAGTTGGTTGAGCATCCGACTCTTGATTTCAGCTCAGTTCATGATCTCATGGATTGTGGGTTCAAGTCCCACATCAGGCTCTGCACTAACAGTGCAGGGCCTGCTTGATATTCTCTGTCTCTCTCTCTCCACCCCCACCCCCACTTGCAGTCTCTCTCTCTCAAAATAAATGAATAAACTTTTAAAAAAAGATTGTTATTAAAAAAAAAAATAGAACTACCCTACTACCCAGCAATTGCACTACTAGGTATTTATCCAAAGGGTAGAGTGGTGATTCTAAGGGACACATGCATCCCAATGTTTATAGCAGCACTACGGACAATAGCCAAAGTATGAAAGGAGCCCAAATGTCCATTGACTGATAAATGGATAAAGAAGATGTGGTGTATACATACAATGGAATATTACTTGACAACCAAAAAGAATGAAATCTTGCTATTTACAACAATGTGCACTGCAATGCTATTTACAAACTAGAGTGTATTCTGCTAAGCAAAATAAGTCAGTCAGGGAAATAATATATGATTTCACTCATATGTGGAATTTAAGAAACAAAACAGGTGGACATAGGGGAAGGGAAGCAAAAATAAGATAAAAACAGCGAGGGGGTGCCTGGGTGGCTCAATCGGTTGAGCTTCTGACTTGGGCTCAGCATGATCTCACGGTTTGTGGGTTCAAGTCCTGCATCGCGCTCTGTGCTGACAGCTAAGAGCCTGGAGCCTGCTTCAGATTCTGTGTCTCCCTCTCTCCCCCTCCCCTGCTCACACTCTGTCTCTCTCTCTCAAAAATAATAAACATTAAAAAGAAAACAGAGAGGGAGGTAAACCATAAGAGACTCTTAAATGCAGAGAACAAACTGAAGCTTGCTGGTGGGATGTCAGGTGGGGGGGATGGGCTAAATGGGCGAAGGGCATTAAGAAGGACACTTGTGGGGATGAGCACTGGGTGTTATATGTAAATAATGAATCACTACATTCTATTCTTGAAGTCATTATTACAATGTATGTTAACTAACTTGGATTTAAATTTTTAAAAAAAATATCTAGAAAATCCCTTGAGATTTAGAAATTAGGTAAAGCACTCCTAATAACTCATGGGCTAAGGAAAAAAACATCACAGAAGATATAAAATATTTTGAAATAAGTGGTAATGAAAACACAATATTAAGATTTGATTTGTAAAAATATAATAAAAAAAGATTTGATTTGTGGAAAACTAATCACTGACTTGAGTGTCTCAAAGCTATAACAAAAAGAAACAAAACAATTTCTAATGACAATAGAAAATACAAACTATGATATATTTACACACTGGTAAACCAAATGGTAATGAAAATAAGAAGCTAACTGCTCAAAGCAAGCACATTTCCCAGAGATAATATTGAGCAAAAAAAGCCAGACACAAAAAATGCATACCACAGGACTATATTTAATATAACCTTCAAGAATAAGCAAAATTAACCTAAAATATTAGAAGTCAGAACAATGATACATCTGACATATTTAATGACTAAGACAGGATAAGGTTTAGTTATTGTGGTGCGTTCACTTGGTAAAAATTATTTTGTCATTTCTATTTTGTGCATTTGTACACAGATGTTCTCAACTTATAGCAGGGTTGAAACAGTCAGGAACCTTGGGAGCAAGGCCCTGTGCACCTGGAAAGCCTCCTGCTGCCTGGTCTTGCAGAGCAAACTACCAGCTAAGGAGCAAGCCAAGACCAGTCCAAACCAGTCTGCACCAAGATGGTGCTGAACTTTCACCAACTTTCTCCTCATTATAATACTAAAAGTCACGCTCAGGTGTGGAGATTTAACATGCTAATTTGACATGCAACTCATGAAGAAGCATGGTGTTTAAGTGCACAGGTGCTGGGGCGCCTGGGTGGCGCAGTCGGTTAAGCGTCCGACTTCAGCCAGGTCACGATCTCACGGTCTGTGAGTTCGAGCCCCGCGTCAGGCTCTGGGCTGATGGCTCGGAGCCTGGAGCCTGTTTCCGATTCTGTGTCTCCCTCTCTCTCTGCCCCTCCCCCGTTCATGCTCTGTCTCTCTCTGTCCCAAAAATAAATAAACGTTGAAAAAAAAATCATTAAAAAAAAAAAATAAGTGCACAGGTGCTAATAAATCCCCACTTCTACATGCTTAGATGGCACACTTTTCCCACCTAAGTTTCTTTAAAAAATCCTCCCTGACCTCTCCTCAGTGAGTCAGCCTAAAGATTCTTTCCTTTGTACTCCAGCATAAGCCCCAATAAAGTTTTGCCTGTGCTTTTAAATTTTGGGTCCAGCCTCATTTCTACCTTTGCTAGGACCAGGGACCCAAGTCTGTTAACAGCGTTATATCCCAGTAAACACACTGTGAATTGAAAATATCTTAAGTTGAAATGCATTTACTACATCTTGACCTACCAAACAATATGGCTTTACCTGGTCTACCTTAAATGTGCTCAGAGCAGTTACTTTTGTCTACAGTTGGGCAAAATAATCTAATGCAAAACCTACTTTATAATAAAGGTGTGCATATCTCATGTAATGTATTCAGTACTGTACTGAAAGTGGGAAATGGAAAGGTTGTATGGGTACAGAAAGGTTGTAAGTGTATTATTTGTTTACTTTCATGACTGTGTGGCTGACCGGGAGCTGCCCGGGAAAATAACAAAATTCAAAATTTGAAGTATTATTTCTCCTGAGTGAGTATTGCTTTCACACCATTGTAAAATAAAAAAATTTTAAGTCAAACCATTGTAAGTTAGAGACCATCTGAAAATGTATGCTATACTACCATAAAATTTTACCTTTCTTTTTTTTTTTAGAATTTATTTTGATTTACCTATGATGATATTTTTGACTGTATCTCTTTGTATAGTTTTTTATTTTAGTGGCTACTGTGGATATTACATTATGTATACAACATAACTTATCACAGACTATTGTTATTGACATTTTGAAAGGTAGACCTTATCTCCATTTTGGTCCTTTACTTAAATTCCCCAATTATATTATCTTAAATATTTCTTCTACATACATTGAGAACTACATCAATGTTTTGGTTATTGGTACAACTTTCAATATTATTTTTAAAAACTCAAGAGAAGAGGGGCGCCTGGGTGGCGCAGTCGGTTAAGCGTCCGACTTCAGCCAGGTCACGATCTCGCGGTCCGTGAGTTCGAGCCCCGCGTCAGGCTCTGGGCTGATGGCTCGGAGCCTGGAGCCTGTTTCCGATTCTGTGTCTTCCTCTCTCTCTGCCCCTCGCCTGTTCATGCTCTGTCTCTCTCTGTCCCAAAAATAAATAAACGTTGAAAAAAAAAATAAAAAAAAATAAAAAAAACTCAAGAGAAGAAAGATACTGTCCTAAATTTACTCATAATTTTATACTTTGCATTGTTCTTCATTCCTGGTATTTTAAGGTGCCTTCTTTGATCATTTCCTTTTTGTTAGAAGAACTTCTATTAGCCATTCTTTGAGAGTAAGTCTGCTGGAAACAATCTTTGGTTTGTTTTGTTTTGTTTCATCTGAGACTATATCTCACCTTCATTCTGAAGAATATTTTCACTGCATATAGAATTTGGTGTTGCCAATTTTTTCTTTCAGCACTTGAAAAATGTGCCACTTCTTTCTGGCCTTCATGGTTTTTTCCTTCCTTCCTTCCTTTCTTCTTCTTTTCTCCCTTCCTCCCTTCCTTCCTTCCTTCCTTCCTTCCTTCCTTCCTTCTCTCCTTCCTTCTTTCCTTCCTTCCTTCCTTCCTGGTTTCTGATGAATAATCTACTGTCATTTAAACCATAGTTTCCCTGTAGATGATGTGTCATTTTTCTCTACCTGCTTTCAAGATTTTTTTCTTTGTCATTAGTTTTCAGAAGTTTGGTTATAATGTTTTTGGTGTGGGTTTCATTTCTTTGTCTCTCTCTTTTGCTTTTATGTGTACAACTCTTATAAGCATCTTTATTATATGTTTTACCAGCTTTATTGAGATATAATTGACATATAACATTGTGTAAGTTATATAACATGTTGATTTGATACATTAAAAATTGCAAAATGAATAAATGTTAAAAAAAATTGCAAAATGATTACCACTATAATATTAGCTACTACCTCCATCTTGTCACATAGTTACGTATTCTTTTTTCTGATGAAAATATTTGAGATCTATTCTCTTAGAAACCTGCAAGTATATGTTACAAGATTATTAGCTATAATCACATACTTACATTAGACCACCAAACGTGTTAATTTTATGACTGGAAGTTGTACTCTTTGACCAATATCTCCTCATTTTTTCCACCCCCCCAACTCCTGATAAACATGAGGATGCTCTCTATTTCTCTGAGTTTGTCTTTTTTAGCTTCCACATATAAGTGATATTATACAGCATTTGTCTTTCTCTATCTGACTTATTTCACTTATCATAATGCCCTCAAGGTCCATCCAAGTTGTTGCAAATGGCAGGAATTCCTTCTTTCTTTTGGCTGAATAATATTCACATATACATGGTCTTCTTTATCCATTCATCTATTGATGGACATTTAGGTATTGGGAGTAATGCTGCAGTGAACATTGTGTATACAGATATCTCTGAAAGATCCTGATTTCAGTTTGGATATATACCCAGAAATGGGATTTCTAGATTAAATGGTAATCCTATTTTTAACTTTCTGAGGAACCTCCATACTGTTTTCCATAGCAGCTGTACCAATTTGTATTCCCACCAAGAGTGCACTAGGTTTTGTTTGTTTGTTTGTTTGTTTTTTCCCCCTCTACATCCTTGCCAATACTTGTTATCTCTTATCTTCTTGAGTATAGCCATTCTGACTGGTGTGAGGTGATATGTCATTGTGATGTTGGCTTGCATTTCCCTGATGGTTAGTTTATGTTGAGTACCTTTTCATGTACCAGTTGGCCATTGGTGTGTCTGGATAATGGTATATTCAGCTTCTCTGCCAGTGTTTAAGTTGTTAATTTTTTTTTTTTTTTTGCTGTTGAGTTGTAAGTTATTTTTCTAAATTTTAGATTATAACCCCTTGTCAGTTATATGATTTGCAAGTATTTTCTCCCATACTGTAGGCCACCTTTTCATTTTGTTGGTTTTTCATTTGCTGTGAGAAGCACTTTAGTTTGATGTAGTCCCATTTATTTATCCTTTTGCATTTGTTGCTTATGCTTTGTTGTCATATCCAGAAAATTGCTGCTGAGACCATTATCAAGGAACTTTATCCCTATGCTTTCTCCTAGGAGTTTCATAGTTTCAGGTCTTAACTTTTAGTCTTTCATTCATTTTAAATTCACTTTTATAGAGTGATGTATTGGTGTGGCTTTCTTTGGGTTTATCCTGTTTGAAGTTGACTTACCTTCTTAAAACTGTAGATTTATGTCTTTCACCAAATGTACATAATTTTGATCTATTATTTCTTCTAAATTTTTTAGCCCCATATTCTCTTCTCCTTTTGGGACTCTGATTACATGAATGCTAGCTCTTGTGTTATCCCACAGGCTTTTGAAGCTCTCTTCTTCTTCTTCTTCTTCTTTTCTTTCAGCCTATTTTCTCTCTGTCATTGAGATTGGATAATTTCTATTGACCTATTTTCGAGTTCACTGATTCTTTACACTGTGATTTCCATTCTGCTACTGAACACATCCAGTGAATTTTATATTTTTCAATTCTAAAATTTAATTCTACAGTTGTTTATTATAAATTTTCACTTAATTCTTCTTTATAGTTTCCATTTCTTTGCCAAGACTTTCTATTTTTTTCAAGTGTGTTTGTAAATTCTTGTGGAAGCATTTTTATAATATCTTTAAAGTCCCAATCTGTTTCATTTCAGTGTTGGTATTGATTGTGTCTTTTCTCATTCAAGTTGAGATTTTCCTGGTTCTTGGTATGGTAATTTTTTATTGTGCGCTAGACATTCCAGGCATTATGTTTTGAGACCCTGGATCTTATTCAAATCTTATATTACAGCAGGTCTCTGCTAATACTACACCAGTGAAGGAAGTGTGTGCATAGGGGGTGTTATCTCCTTACCACTGGAAAGGAGAAGTCCAATCTTCTCGTTCTTTTTTCCCAGGGTGGTTAGTTATAGTAGGGTGGATATTATCATAAAAGATTTCTGCCTCTCTAGGTCATGTTTCTTGGTCCTTTGGCTATGGTGGGAGGTATTTGTTTGTCTGCACCTGTTGGCATTTCTTGGTTGCAGACTTTGCAGTGCCCAATCTAAGATAATAGGAAGCGAAAAGGAAACCCAGGGAACTTACCACAGACAGTGTCAGTCCTCAAGTTCTGAGGACCCTAGCTACTCTGCCTTCTTTTCTCCACCTTTTAGACTGTCCTTATGTTTTTTTAAATATATTATGCCCAGATATTTTAGTTACATTTAGCTGGAGCAATAAGGAGAAGTGCATCTACTCCATCCGATACAGAACTAAATGTCTTACTTTTATTTAAAAAATATACATATGTATATGTATATATAATATGCAGTGGTTGGACTATTGGGTCTTTAAAGCTGCTACCTGTTTTGACTCTCTAAATGGAAGAACTGGGGAGGGATAATTTGTCTTTTTGTCTCCAACAATGACTGGGTAAGGAGAGTACTTTGGATTTTTGGTGTAGCAGGTGTTTTGCTTCAGGTAAATCAATAAGTTAACATTTACCTAGAGGTAGTAGAATCAAGATATGAAAGGAGAATTCCTGGCCAGACTGATACTCTATATCTTTTTTGAGACCTACGCAATTAACAGAGCAATTAGAGCTTTTTCCTTGCTAATTGGTATGTTTCCTGTGTTTCCCCATGACCTCTCTGGTACTGGTATGTTTTTTGCATACACTACTTACGCTGTATGTTCCTAAGTTAGGTGAAGCGTCTTTAAGAGATCAGGAAACAGCTGCTGTACTTCCTCCTCTCCCTACAGGTACCTAGTAAACATCTCACACGCTGTAGAGAGTCACATATATACAATTATTCTTTCTCCTGTGAGTCTGGGTAGCATACGCTAGTGCTCCTCATGTGAAGCCACCCTGCCTTCAGACCTTGCAGAGCAAGTTCTGGACTATGAGAGACAGCATCTCCCCAGGGCAGACCTGCCTTTAAAAAGCATTGAGCTCAAGAAGAAGACCCAGAGTGGCAATCCAACCCACTATGGGGTTGTTCATGGAAATCTGTCCGCAGAATCTTTGTGTTTGAGGATCACCTCACCATCTTAAGCCTTAAAACAGAGAGCTCACATCTTTGCTTCTGGTTGCCAGTCATTCCTCCCTCCTCTGCTGACCCCCTTCCCCCAACAAAATAAGTGTATTTGTTGACTGAATGTACATATGGACGGATGAGTGAACGGAGGAAAGGAAATGAATGAAATGTGACTTGGAAGATACAAAGGTGACTAAAACCCAGAAATTCTCATGAATTGCAAATTTATTGACTGAGGAGGCACTGGGGTTGGGAGGTAGTTGTACAGAAACCAAAGAGGAAAACCTGTAGAACAAGAAGCAGCCCCAGAACTCTAAGGCTTCGTCTGGGTGTAACACACGAAGCATTTGGGAACCTCGGCAATATCAAGAGAGCGCTGAGCCCATAGGCGCCCACCGAAAACGGCTCCAGCTCCTCAGTCTCCGCGGCGTCCAACTGGCCTTATTTGCTTGGCCAAGTAGGCGCCTGCTTCTGCTGGGTCTGGTGGCAGATCGGGACGCCCTTGCCACCTCCGGAGCCCCCACCGGAGCTGCCGCCTCCACCGCAGGACGACCCCCCACCACTGGAGAAGCAGCCGCCGCCGCCCCCGGAGGAGCCGCCGCCCCCACCGCAGGACGACCCCCCACCACTGGAGAAGCAGCTGCCGCCGCCTCCAGAGGAGCCGCCGCCCCCAGCGCAGGAAGACCCCCCTCCGTAGCTCTGCTGCGGCATGCAGGAGGTCTGGGTGGTCTGCTGCGAGGAGAAGTAGCCAGCTCCCCCGCAGCCGGAGGAGCCCCCGTCGCCCCCGCAGGCGGAGGAGCCCCCGCCGCTCCCGCAGCCGGAGGAGCCCCCGCCGCAGCCGCCGCTAGAGATGCTTCCATAACTCTGGCACTGAACCTGCTGCCCGGAGCCTCCGCCGCCCCCGGAGTAGCCCCCGCAGCTGGAGCCTCCCCCGCCCCCGGAGTAACCCCCGCAGCTAGAGCCTCCACCTCCGCAGCTGGAGCCTCCACCGCCCCCGGAGTAGCCTCCGCAGCTGGAGCCTCCGCCGCCTCCGCAGCTGCCACCACCCCCAGAGTACTTCACACTCCCGCTGGAACCGCCGCCGCCGCCGCCGCCGCCGCCGGAGTAGCCTCCGCAGCTGGAGCCTCCGCCGCCTCCAGAGTAGCCTCCGCAACCGGAGCCTCCGCCGCCTCCGCCGCCCCCGCCGCCCCCACCGGAGGTCTTCCCGCAGCCCACTGGGGGCATGGGGGTGGGCTGCTTTTTCTGGTGAGACATCTTGTTTAAGGAGAGAGAGAAGCCTAGAAAGAGCAGGGAGCATCACTGGACCAACCGCAAGCGCATGGAAGAGGCAGGGACAGCCGTGGAAACGCCCATCATCCTCCAGGGCAGCACGGCCAGGCTGGGCTTGATGCCCTCTGTTTAGACCGGGAAGAACTCTCATATGGGACTCCTGGGATTAGTCGTTTCCCCCTCAGAAAGTCTTTACCAAGCAGTAAATAGCCCAGGTACTGCTCGCATTTCTCTCTCCCAGCTCTGCCTTTGGCATCTGAGTGATTTGGGAGCAAATGACCCACAGTCCCACCTCTATCCTCACTTCCTGAAAAATGAGACAGTTCGAGCACTTCATCACTCATGCCTCCTCCAATCCCAACACGGATTCTCTGAATGCAAATAGAAATTTCCACAAACCTCCACCTAGGGTGGAGGATTTTACCTATCCCTGACAAAACAGAGGGAGGTTTGTCCGAATGTCAGAGGGCTGTTGCCCCCCCCCCCCGCCCCCTTCTCTGCAAAAGCTCTTAGTTCAAACTCTTGGTCTGTCCCACTGAGCCTAGCCATGATCCAGAAGCTAGTTACCAGAAAAAGCAGTCTCCCCCTGGTCTGGTCTTGTCTGTACACAGGGGAAAGGACCCAGTGGTCCTTTGGATCAGAATCTCTGACCAGAAGATGTAGGCTTTGCTTACAGCCAAGCTTGGTTGAGGGGGGCCATTAATAGTAGGAAGTTGTGCCATGGCATCTCATGCCATTTCTCTCTCAGAACATCTCTGAAAAACTGGCACTGGGTTCCTGAGGTTCCCCAAATATCCACCATCTGCAGCATTGTCTGCATTACTCTCCTTGTTCTCCCTTACTCTCTGGAACTAAGACTCAGCCTATTCTCCTGACCAGTGCATAAGGTCCATCCTGCCCACTCATAGGAGCAGTCTGCAGAATGTCCCTCTGTGCCCATCACTGGCCTGCTCCTAGAAGGGTGCCGTAGAGATAGAAGGTAGTCTTGTCTTTGTGGAGTTCCTATTCTGGCATTCTGTGTCTCTGAAGATCAGAGACACAAATCCACACAGCAACAGCTCAGCCCCCACTGCCTTCCTGCCTGAATTCCCTCTAAACATGAATGCAGTTGGAAAGTCAGAGGTCCTATAGTTTCCAAAGGGGTCAGAGGTCTTGCCAATCTGTCCCCTAGTCCACCTAGCCTGCACAGGCCTGGGGAAGACTAGCTGGGAAGATGAGAGTCAGGAGAACTCACACTTACTTGAAGCACCAGGAGCTGAGTGAGGAGAGGAGATGCTGGCTTATGTTAGGAGCACTGGAGCTCCCAAGATTTTATACTCTGAGCCCTGACTCATCTATTGATCTGGGCCAGCCTCTCATGTTTGGCCTCAGTTATGTGACCCATGGCTGTCACCCCACCTGTCTGTTGATTACAGGCACAGGGTGGCCCATTCATGAAGATTTTGGCATTCTTGAGACAGTGTGTGACTGGCCCCTTCTCTGATGCAACTGTGTGGCAGCAGGGATGGCTGGCTAGAGTGGATGGCAGTCATTGTTTCCACAACCTATGACAAAGGGTTCATGCTGTGAACAGAGGTCCGTGCTTGAGGACTAGGTCTCAGACTCTTAGTTGGCCCAAGAGTCTACACCATAGACAGGGCTATAACTGGCCCAAGAGTTGGCCCAAGAGTCTACACCATAGACAGGGCTATTACTAATGGAACATGGGTATCTACATTTATTTATTTCTGCAGATTTATTCCTCTGATCGTTGATACTCACTTTCCTTGCAGAGGAGCAAGGAAGGGCCATGTGGTCCTTCCCACCATGGCCTTTGGCCCTGACATCCTGAGGTCTTATGTGGCAACAGTGACCTCAGCCTATGAGGCAGCCGTGGAATGGAGGGGACTTGAGGTTAAGTGACTGGGTTTGGGTGCTCCCTATGGTACTTGTCAGCTGTGTCACCTTGGACAAAGTCACAGCACCTTACCCAGTGTCTGACATAGGAGGCACTTAGTAGTTATTTGTTGACTATTGAATAAGTAGGCTTCTGATGCTCAGTGACCTTGTCTATCAAATAAGAATAATACCTGTTTCATAGACTCAGGAAGCAGGGAATAGTTATATAAAGTGCAGAAGGTGATGCTTTTGTTTTTATTGTTTTCTCCTATTACATCACAGTCTTACCTCCAACGTGGCCTACCCTTGGACACCAAGGCCAGAAAGGAGTCCATGGGTAACTTGAGGCAAGTTCTTAGTGGGAAAATAACTCAAAAATTCCCCATTGACCCTGGATCAGTAGCATCACCTCTATGTATGAATGGCATGCTCCCCCCCTTCTTTCATCACTGGAACTCAATTGTTATTGTCTAAATTATGGCATTTGAACTTTGTTCCACCCATCTGTGTGTTGAAATGACAGCTCCAATAATAAATTGACTGTTAATTATGGTGGAGTTTTAATGATCAAGTGGTCCTGATTAGACTGTGGCCTTCAGAAACCTGTGGCTCTAGTTTTAGTTTGAAAGGCATGAACCCAGGCAAACCCAGATGCTCTCCTCCTGAGAGACTAGCCAGAAGGGAGAAGCCAGGACCTATTGGAGAAAGCATGTTTCTCAACTTGAAGCTGAGGCACCGGTGAGATTTTGAAGGGAAATAAGCCCCAACTAGATGACTACCATGGGTATAACAAAGGTTGGTTTTATTTAGTTGGGAAGCACTGGAGAAAGAGAGAGGGTGTAGACCATGCACAATTCCAGCACTGATCTGTGGGCCCATGTTGGCCCATTACTGTGTGTTCTCTAGTCTGGAGGAAAATGTAAGTAAAAGTATATCAGCAGTGTACTCTTTTTTTTTTTTTTTTTCTTTCCATGTTTATTTACTTTTGAGACAGCATGAGTGGGGGAAGAGCAGAGAGAGAGGGAGACACAGAATCCGAAGCAGGCACTGGGCTCTGAGCTGTCAGCACAGAGCCCAACGTGGGGCTCGAACACACGAACTGTGAGAGCATGACCTGAGTCGAAGCTGGACACTTAACTGACTGAGCCACCCAGGTGCCCCTCAGTAGTGTATTCTTGAGAAGAAAAGTCATTTATTTTGAAATCATGGCCTTCCTACATTTGTGTGTGTTAAAAATATCATTTTGTTTAAAAGTGATGGAAACTCCAGGAGGTTGTAGTTTGTTTCAAGTCCTTACTTGTCAAACTATAAAAATTGGCTATCACAGAAGAGAGGGAAATGTTACTATATGAAATTCTCAAGTTTGGAAGCCTCAAGTGCAGGTAATCCCATAAAGATAATAATCTTCAAATTGCCCATGTCAGTTGGAGTATGTAAAGATATGATATTTTCTTTCTTTCTATATATAAGATTTGAGATTCTAGAGCTTTATGCATTAATCCAGCCAACACAGTGTACTGGGTACTACACTGAACATTAATAGAGTCAGAAACCTTGTCAAAGCTGTGCACGGATCTCCTTGGTGGATTTTGGAGAGGGATATTCCATGCCTGCCTTTGCTATTCTAGGTAGCATTTAATAAGAAAACCTTTCTAACTAGTACATTCTACTTTGCTAACATGTAGAAGAGGCTGATGCAACATGGTATTGACAGCAATGCTAGATCTTGTAGGCTCTAAGTTAACCTTGCCTGAGGTGAACGTATGAGCTTGCTTCTCCATTTTATCCCTCTAGACCAGAAGTAATGAGATACTGTGTGGACAGCAATTGATCACATTTCATCAAATCAGTGAGGAAATGATGGAAGTTTGTAGAATTATTACACTTGGGTATTTGAAGTTTTTTGACTTCATATGTCATATTTTTAAGATTTATAACCCTTATATACTTACCTTGAATGTGTGCTAGCACACCTGAGTTCTGCAGCCTCACAGATCACATCTTTGTTCTTGCCTTTACCTGTATCCTTAGAGGGGATGGACCAGAATGCAAATGCTTCAGTGCTTAGTGTGGTGCTAGGAATTAATAGCTGCTCACTGAATCCTGGTGGAAATGAAAGGAATTCTTTTATTTTTAATTTAAAAAATTTTTAAAGATTTATTTATTTTTGAGAGACAGAACGTGAGTGTGGGAGGGGCAGAGAGAGTAGGAGACACAGAATCAGAAGCAGGCTCCAGGCTCTCAGCTGTTAGTATAGGGACCGATGCAGGGCTCAAACTTACCAACTGTGAGATCATGACATGAGCTGAAGTCAGAAGCTTAACCGACTGAGCCACCCAGGTGCCCCTGAAAGGAATTCTTAATGCCTGTTGACTAACAGCTCTGGTGCGGGACGGGGGGACATGGTCCCTATCCCAGGCAATCCTCAGTCTGAAGGGAGATCACAGTTCTTGAATATGGGGACCCCCCAGCCTGATAGAAGCCTACTCATTACAGTCTTTATGTGTCTAAAGCTACACACATGCATCCTCATGATTGAGTGCTGACAACCTAACTGAGGGTTAAAGGGCAACAGGTGGTTTGTAAAGAATAAAAAAAGACACAGGGCAAGGGCTCAGGAGCATTGGCAGGGCAGGCATAGAGCTTGGAAGCCCTAAACGTAACATTGTTTACATTCACTGTGAAAGTTTCTTCTTCTAGTCCTGCCCAGGAGGTGCCTCAGAGCTTCAAAACAGCCGTCCCCCCCCCCCCCCCACCGCTCCAGGGTACATATTCATCCTCTCTCCAACGTTCCTGGGTCAGCAGTTTGAAGAGGTGGTTGTCTTTGTTAGAGAACTGGGAGAAGGACAGCTCTCTAGTGGTTCATGGCTGCTAGAATTCCTTCTCCAGGAAGCTTCCCTAGGTCCATCCACCCAGTGGTTCCATTTTCTTTGCCACTTTCCCTTTCCAATCCCTTAAGGAACTACTGTACCAGTTACAGCCTGCTAATGACACATCCAGTAGCCTTGTCTCCTTTTTTCAACTTATAACTGTCCTTGACAGCTGGGTCCCCATTAGTTCCTTATTTTGCATCCTAAGATTCAAAGAGAGTTTATAGCATCCTGGAGCTTTATTTGGACGTGTTGACTTTTTTTTTTTTTTTAATTTTTTTTTCAACGTTTATTTATTTTTGGGACAGAGAGAGACAGAGCATGAACGGGGGAGGGTCAGAGAGAGAGGGAGACACAGAATCGGAAACAGGCTCCAGGCTCCGAGCCATCAGCCCAGAGCCTGACGCGGGGCTCGAACTCACGGACCGCGAGATCGTGACCTGGCTGAAGTCGGACGCTTAACCGACTGCGCCACCCAGGCGCCCCTTGGACGTGTTGACTTTTGAATGACTCTCTTTTGGGTGCTTTTGGAGCTCATCCCTGCATGGAGAAGGAGGCCCACAGCAGAGTTGTTCCAGCATTCCTGAATAGCTTGTAGATGCATGCAAGATGAGCAGTGTGCCCAGGGACTGCACTTGCTTGGCTTAGACACTTCTGGTGTGGACAGACTCTGGTGTTTATGGACTGCTGCTGCATATGGGTCTTGTCTATTCCTCACAAGGGTCCTGTGTGCTCAGTGATGTCATCCTCATTTCCCAGATAAAGCAATCAGCCCATAGAGGCTAATGGAACTGCTTACATTTCCCCAACCTTTAAGTGGCAAAGCCAGGATTCAGACTCAGTTGTTTTGATTCCAAATTTTGCATTCTTTCCAAGTACTACTGCCTCTTCTTTTTGAATCAATATGGGCAGAATGAGGGGATGACATCCCAGGCAGGCTCAGGTTCACACCCTCTAGGAGGCAGGGAACAGATCTCACTCTTGTGGTTGCTCCCAGGTGCTCAAGGACGGTTCTGTTAATTAGTGGACTGTAGGAGCCAAGAGGAGGTAGAGGTCATCTGATAGACCTTTACCATTGTTGGAAGTAGATGAACAACCCAAGGCCCAGAGAAGCCAAACTATTTCCCAAGGCCACACAACAGGCCCGAGACTAGAGCCTGGGTCTCCGGCCTTCCCATTCTAAGCTTTTCCCACTGCAGACTCTGCTGAGGCTTTGTGATTTCTCCTGACAAGATTATCTCCAGGTGTTGGCAGTGAGACCAGGAAGTAGTTACAAAGACAGTAAAAGTATTGAGCTGACATGTTCAGGTAAACTCCTGGGTCTGAGTGCTCTAGCCTCTGGGCCTGGAAGGAAATTGTTGATGCTGAGTTCCTTCAACAGGTGGGCAGCTGCTGCATAGCCTGAGGGCTCACATATAAACTTTACAAGCAGGGAGGAGCAGTGAACAGCAGTTATGGGCCCTGTCCTGCTCCGAGATAGGCTGTGTCAGAGGAGGCCTCTCAGGACTTTTGCGCCTGGTGGTAGTTGGTGGCCCAAGAATGTTGGTTCAGCCCATCCACTGTTAATCCACTGATTATCCATGGGCAGATAATGCATCTTTGCTTTAACTGACTCCCAAGTCAAATAAAATCTGGAAATCAAAACGATATGAAGGAAAAAGCACAAACATTTCAGACCCACAGCCTTCTAGGCTCTTTGGCCTAAAGCTTTAACCCAAATTCTTTCAGGAGCATGCTGCTTTAGATGACCAGCACCAATATACCTCTCCTTTACTGGGAGTCATTGAAAATCAAGGTAAGGTAAGTGCTTTTTCCATTTTGGTCTCAAATCTAATTTTAACTCTTACATGGGTCTCTCAGGAATTCCCTGGGGCTACAGCAGGCTTTGGATGTGACCTCTCTGACTCAAAGACAGCTAATGGGATTTACTACTGAAGACCAGAATCTGGATTCAGCCTGTGTTTTGACCAG